AATGAAAGAGATAAGGAGATGGAGATTGAAACCGGATGATCACATCAGTTCCCTATTCTGGTCCACCTGACTAACGATGCTATACACTCGATCAGTCTCGATCAGACCATTGGCCCGGAATAGATTCATCTCCGGCAGGAACCGAAAGTTCTTGGAAGGATCTAGTAATTGTTAGCCCAGTATAATCATCAAGACATCACAGATTTCAATTACCAGACATGGCGGGTGTCATAATGGTGAGCTCGAAAAGTTCATCCAGCCCAGGTTTAGGGAGCAGCCCCATCAGATGAACCATCATTGGGAAGCGCAACCCCAAACTGGCGCCAAACAGGCTAACGATATTGCTCGCTGCATTCATTTGAACTTGTCCAAGCCGAAACTTGTGGCCTTCCTGGGCTAGGAACTTTCGATAGTCCATGACCGCATTCGCCCACTTGGGACTTTCCTCCGCCGAACCATGCAGGTTCCATCCTAGGAACTTCTTGAACTCTGGTTGCAGAGTGAAGAGTCCCCTTTCAACTAACTGCTCCGCAGTCACCGTTTCGGATTTCCCCTTGATAGATAGAGATCCCTGAGAAAGAAACTCGCCGAAATAAAAGACGGGGCCCTTTAATCCCGTTCGTAGTTTCCATAGATCCTCCAGGCCCGTATAGGGCCATGTGCACTGAAGGACTTCCATCAAGCTTAAATCGTCAAGAAAAACATCAGGGTGGCATCTACTAGCGTCTAGGACTGTCAAATAAATCTGGTCGAGGGACTCTCCCTTCCCGTAAAGATAAAATATATACGCGATTGCCGTCAAAAGCGAGCTGGTCCACGACACGAAAGGGCTGGGTTTCCCCGGGACTTGTTTCCAGCGGAGGTGGTTGTCCAAATCCTGGCCCGCCTGGGCGAGTTCACGGAAGGCGAAGACGTCCGTAAACTGAGGGGCCAAGGCCTCCCACTCGGCCGACGATGCGTACGACTCGTTGGTTACACCACCAGAGCCAGGATGGTGCACCCGAAAGAGATGGCGCGGAACTCTGCTAAACCTTTCCCTCATGGTGCCTTCCAGCAGGTACGGGTGGCACTCAGGCCTCTGGGCCCATCGATCTGATTGCATCCTTGATGTCGATCCCTCGCCTGGCAAGCTGAAGGTGAAAGGGGGAGATTTCTCGTTCGAATCAAGTGGAGATGAGTGACATACCTAAGACAGATGGGTGAGCTAGTCCATAAATTGCATAAGTCCTCAGGTGATATAACAAAGACTATTGCCGTAGGCATCAACTGTGCTCACCGCCAAGACGCGCCTGATGATATCCAATCTGTGTCAAGAGATGAGGTTTCAAAGTAAGTTGCCACCGTTGGTGATACGAGCACCAACACTTTCACACCGACAAGAATAACCCATTCGGGTGCTGAAATGTAAGACATTTTGATGTGAGCTCCCTCATTGGTCAGTATCCACAAGAAAGAGGGGGTTGCACCTTTCTTTTTCAAAATATGGGGTAATTTCCCTTTCCCACCTCGTTTTGTGTTGATCAATCCTCTCGTCAATCATCTTCAGTCCGCTCCCTTTGTCTGGGTGCTGTCGATGACAACCCAAGTTATAGATCGAGATCTAGTATGAAGAACAATTCCGTAAGAGAAACATTGTAAAGAACTTCTCTTGAAACCTAGATTTTAAATAAGAACTGATTGAGTAATTTTCTGTTCCCAAGACTTATGAGATGTTGTGTTAGATTGATAACTTCATATGTGTTCAAAGACTAGCCCATTAACATAGAACGAAACTTGAAAACTAAATTCACTTAGAATTGATGCAAATGTATGAAACTAATATTGAATTTGAGTAAGACTATTATATTCATAGAAGAAGATCTTGCCGAGCTCAGTTAATCCTAGTGTGTTGATTGTCCTTGAGGTATAGGGTAGGTTATCAAGTTGGGTTTGTACTTTATCAACGAACAAAAACAGTCTCTATTAATCTACCTAGATAAATTAGTCAAGATGCAAACTGATATGTGCCTTCGTAATTGCGCTCAACGTATCACAGTGTAAGGGATGTTATGGCTTTCGATGCTGGCTCACTAAGGGAGAGTTGGCTAGTTCACTTCTTTGGAGCAACACAATTTGTGTGCTTAGCTATTTTATAGAAGGCACAAGATCATGTTATATCAAGCTTTCAAGATGGCTAGGAAAAAACGAGGCACTTGCGCCAACGTACTTTGGTGGGATAACATTATTTACGAGGATAACTGGCCCTAAACAAGTTGATACCTATGTTGACGTCTTTCATATAGGCCTTATTAATGAAGGTCCAAATAAGTTCAACGTAACGAAGAATGATATTGAACACTAGGAATCAAGTGTCTGAGTTTCAGCTCTCCCCGGCGTGTTCTGTGAGTAACACTCTCTATGTGATGTGTGCAGTTAGATGTAGTAATTGGTGTCTGGTGGATTGCCACAACCACCTTACTTCCAAACCTGGCTGCCCACGTTGGGTGTATTTCCACTTGGCCAGTTCCTGAACGAGCGTCGTCGTGTTTGAGCACGCAATTCCGCCCAACTTGGCCTATGACCATGTTCCACTCGCCCGACTATTGTTGACTGATCACATTCGGCTCTCGACTGAGCTGTCATTCTCGTACATGGCGTCTATGACGCCAAGCCGTTTAGTAGATGCCTGACCGTTTGGTTATAAGACAAGGTGCCGAAGACGCTATTGCCAATATTTGCTGAACATGATGATCGACGTCATTTCGCAGCATGGACCATCAATATTGTCCCCTCAAGGGCCGATTCCTTTGCTTGACCACCCATTCGGGCTGGTCTCCCGAATCTGACCAGCTGAGTTGTGGATGCGACGTTGCGCCCACTCAGAGACGCCCAACATGTTGATCCCAGGTCATCATGCATGTTGGCTACACGCCCCCCCAGCGGCTACTTCCAGCGCGGGTAAAGCTGCGCCGAGACAAAGCAATCCTGGCGATCGGCCGATCCTAATCCTCAGCTCCTCAACCCCCTCCGCATGCTGTCTGTTCCCTTACCCATCGCTTCGAGGTTAATCCCAGAATCTTCCATTCCCAGACCGCCCATTATGTCCTCGGCGCTATGGGACCCCGCAAACCTGCTCCAGATCAGCTACGAGACGCATATCCCTGATGCGCCCATCTTCTGTGTCGGTGAATCAAGGAGTAAACTGGGCAACCCCCGCTGTAGATACACAATCCCTGAGCCGGACTACTCCAGGATCCGCACCACTCTGCTCCATCTGGCCTCCAAGGATCCGGAGGATGTAGAGCGCGAAGCCCTTCACACGCTCGCTTTCCTCTGCCTATGCGATGGCTACCACAAACCCCAAGCAAAAGATGTGACGGACCGCTGGGTCAGGATCGTCGGGCAGGCAGCCGCTCAAGAACAGCGCAAGGGCCATTCCCGAGGCTCCTCAAGCGCTTCCATGTCTGACTGGTGGGACCCTTCAGCGGATCTGTTTCCAAGGGCCAGTAATTCCCAGCAGGGGCGCGGCCAGGTGGCGAATTTGAGCAAGAAGTTGGAAGAGGAGTTGGCCGCGGCCACGGTGGAGCTCAAAGAGTCCAAGGCGAAGGCAGATCAGGAGATTGAATCGCTACGAGGGGAGTTGGGTTCATTGCAGAACCAGCTGGCGGAAGCTAAGGAGAGAGAGTTGGAGTCAAATACCGGGGCGTTGTCCATAAAAGGAGAAAGAGACAAACTCGTGGAAGAAATACAGAAGCTGCGCAACGAGCTACTAGAAGCAAACGAGGAGCGTCAGCGGCTGGAGACCAACAGTTCCCAGTTGAAAGAGGAGAACACTGCATTTAGCGAGAAGCTCAATCGCCTGAATGGGGATTTGTATATCGCGACTGAGCGGACGCAGCATCTTGAGACCGAGTGTTCTCGCATCAATGAGGAGATGAGCGCCATGAGATCAGAAGCAACGGAACTTGGCAAGAAGAACTCAGTGATACTCAATGCCATTAGGACCATGGAGGCTGAAAGAGACGCTGCAAGGGATGACCATCAAAAGGTCGTAATTGAGCTTGCAGAACAAAAACGCTCTTACATGGCCCTACAGCACGAATTACAGGGCTTACAGCTGGTCAAAGCCGGTCATCAGCAGAGCAATGCAGTCAGCTGGTATCGCCGCTTACTAACTTGGATTTCCAAGTTTCGCATACACGCAGTCCTCCTACTCTCCCTTTCAATTGTTGAGCTGAGCCGTCGGGAGATGGCTAGATGACAATATGTGGTGAAAGTGTCGTGTTGGCGCCTTACCGTGAGGTGTGAATTTCTCCCGCTGCTGATCAGGACGTGTATCTGGTGTGCCATCATATTGGATGGACTGATGATAGCGCCGTATATGATCGGGCGTGATTGTGATGAATGCATGTTGTCAAGTGTCGTGATGAGTATTTATATATTTGTATACGTATTTGTAGAATAGAAACGATGAATAAGGTGGTATGATATGTAGCATCAATGCTGTGTATCTTTGAGACTTAAATCACACCCATGCCGTTGAATTCATTCTTCACTTGCTGCTTTGATTACCTGTTCTTTACAGGGAACCTAGCTCTCGAATTACGCAAATCACCCTCTGGGCTTTGAATGTTGCAGGCATCACCCTCTGGGCTTTGAATGTTGCAGGCATCAACCTCCTGTCTAGATGCCACCCATGGCAAAAAGACAGAGTGTGCATGCAATTTGGAAGCCTAAAACCTGGGATATTTTGGCAGCCTAGTCTATAGCCACGTGTTATTTGCAGCTCCAACATATAAGGGATAACCTGGGATTTCATGCCTTGGAATTAGGAATTAAGGAAGAATTATCTATATCTTTAATCCCTTAAGTTACAGATCTTTATCTTTATCGTGGCGTGGACACCCAAATGTGTCTCCCACGTCTTGAGCTTCAGCCGCCCCGCAAAATCCTCTCCGCCAACTCCATCATCTGACACCGCAACTTCCGGAGGCAATTTTACCTTCTTCATTCATTTAAGCATGGACGCAGAAGACGAGACAGAGCGCGAAGAGCGCCTCCGCAACCTGTACACGACACTAGCCACCGACCTCGGCTACACAGGAGACAACCAGCTTCGCCGGTGGCTGGAAGCGGGAGGGGCAAAACTTGAACAATTCTATGTCTTCTTGGAGAGTTTGATATGCGAACAGAGCGAGGCACTGTGCCGTCGTTACGGCCCTTCCTGGAGCCTTCGGTGGTCGCTGTATTATCCCTGGTCATATCGCAACCGCAACCTGCGCGATCTGAAGCGCGCAAAGCAGCAACTAAAGCAAATTTGCGGGAAAAGGGCTTCTCCAACACAGCGATGCGCTCAGCTCGCCCGAACTCCCTTCGTCAAGCTGGGTAGAGCCGCCATGGGAAGAACCGTCAACCGCAGTCCCTTCTTCACGAAACTCCCACCTGAGATCCGAGAAATGATTCTTATAGAGGCATTTGGCAACCAAACCATTCATTTGGACTTAAGTCTTCGTTACCCATTCTATGAGGTGAAGGGCCAGCCCAGAATCATCCAGGGTGATCGCTATCACTATTGTGCCCACGCGAAGATCAGGCCTTTCTCTTTCGATCGTTATAGCGTGGACAGTGACACGCTGAACGAGAAGCATACATATGACACCACCGAGAGGAAGAAATGGAGGTGGCTTAGCTGCGTATGCCACAGAGCGCCACCAACTGCAAAACGCTTCCCATTTGGTCGAAGGCATAACAATTGTGGCAATCATTGGGGCTCAACTTTCACTGAACCTAATTTCGACCGTTGCCTGGCTGGGCGAGGTTATTGCCCCCTGTGGCCCGGTGAGTGGCCGAGTAAGTGTTTTGTGGGAGTTTACGGGTGGCTTCTAAGCTGCCGCCAAGCGTGAGTTAAAACCTGCAAGTGTATCGTTGATGCTTTCATACTAATTCAGAGCTTTCGCTTGGATAGATATATGGAAACGTATGGAATCTTGTTCCAGTTGAACACCTTCTTTATATCCTCTCCAGTACTTCTTCTAGGAATCCAGGACATAATGGGCTCCAACATCACCGACATGATGACGTCCCTTGACCTTGTGTTTGATAAAGGTGTGTTGGACCTGAGTGAGGCGTTCACTGGCCTGCCTCCTAGGTTTGGGATCAAATCTACGTATGAGAATGGGAAATTCACCTTCCCTTCACTGCAGCAACTTAGAATTTCCTTTGTTGAGAAGAGACAGTTCACAGATCCCTGGACTGGTGAATATTTACCCTATGGCTTTGACTTTAACAATCGCGACGTTATCACTTCGGATGCTCTCCCAGAACTCGATGGTCTGATTCAGAGGATTGTACCTCCAAGCGCCGAAGTTACAATTTCTTGCCCGCACCCTCGTTTCTATGTGGAGATTGAAAACAAGCTCATATCTCGACAAGGGCAACTACAAACACAGTCTCAACCAGCAGAAATTGGGGGCCACAAATGTTGGAGAGAGATTCCAAAAATTGATAGCGGTACACAAGGGATTGCAAATAATTCAGTGGAGGCTTTACTCAACGACACCTTGATTGCTGGTTACTGGATACACTCACTAAGAAATGATCTCTCACGACCTCGCTTAGCCTAAGACACTCTCAGATGAAAGTAATATTGATGCACAAGCACATTCCCTCCGCACATCAATTCTTCAGAAAATTAGTTAAATCATGCTCTTACATTTTTCAATTGAAAAGTATTATAATAATCATAATAAAAGAATCGTAACTACGTAACCTCAAATCCATTCGAAATGAAGGTCTACAACTAGTCCTGCTCTGGAACATGTTTGCTACGGGATTGAGAGACTAGAAGTTGTAGCAAGTGAGAGAGCAATACAGTTGGGCAGCTGCTGAAAACAAAAGGGGTAAATTCCCAAAGACCAAGAATTTCACAACTTGACATCATACCAGACCAAAAGTTGTAGCGCCATCCTTCATAGCCGAGATATGCCTGACAAGTGACTATTTGCCCGTATGCCCATGGCCAGCGTGGCGCCTGACAACACGACAAGTTGTGGTAATGTTGGCCGCCCTGGCTCGCACAGGTTATTACTTGGGGGTAATAACAGCGCACTTTTGTGAGCACCATGTGCTCATCTAAGGCTGTGCTGACGTATCTGGAGCCCAAAATGTGTTGTCACAAATGTGATCCTCTGCATTGTGGTCATCTGCTCTAGTTAGGCGGCTACCATAATTCAGCCACGAGTAAGCGAAGATGGTGGGCAGGAATTCTTCAGTATGATTTTTATGTGCATCTTGAGTTTGCGAACTGCTTCATTTCAACGAGGCAAACTTCTAAGGCGAGCGACGAGGCGATGGTCAACCGTAGATATCTATATATTTCGACCCCCAAGCTTCCGTGGCCATTTCCTATCTTTTGGTGTCGAAATATATAATGTATTTAGACTTCCGATGTTTCAATTCGAATGCTCTTTTTAAATAAGCAATGGACACCGTCATGGTTGAAGCTGGGTGGCGAGCAGTCCGGGGAGCCCAAGCCGTACCGGCCCTTGCTGGTCTTAGTACGGTGGCGATCCTAATGCTTTACCTAGGAGGCAATCAACCTATTCAGCCTCTCAGTTATCGGGCATTCGCCTCTTGCTGCGATGCAGCGTTGGCAGCTAGATGCTTGCTCACTGTGAGATAGGGAGTTGCCACCGCCCTGCCGTTTGGGTGCCCTACGCCTGTGATCCAGCTGAGCGACATTACGAAAGCACAGCTGGCCTTGTTACATTATACTCATTTAAATGGTTAGTACGGTCTCGTAATTGACGATGTCTAGGGTCACGGCCGGAAAAGACGGGCAAACTGAGAAAAAGTAACATAAAAAACTCGCTCTACCTTACAGGGAATCACATGTATGTAGGTTGAAATAAACGTAAGGTACAGGAAAACAACTGACCGACACTAAGAATGAAGCTAGATGCCACCATCTGCCACGCAGGTACCTTTACCCATCTACTACAAATAAAGACCGGCTTATCTTAGTTCAAGGAGGCCGCCGGGCTGCACTTGGGCCGCGCGCCATCTCTAAGATCATGAACGGAGACGCATGCTGGCTGCAGATTACCCAGGTGGTTGAGTGCTGAACTCAGCTGCTCTGGAAACGCTCGAGAATACGGCGGTGAAAGGGTCGCTGATAGGGCTGGGTTATCGCCATCTCAGCCGTAGTCTCAGGGACTAAGGTGTTCAGCAAATCGCCCAGGAGGGTGTGGAAATTCCCATTTTCGACTGGGAACCCATTGTCAGACAGGATGCCGGGTAATGCTCCCTCCAGCCTACGCCAGCCATTTTCGCGCGTAATTGCAAGTGCCTCCTCAAGGCCTTCACTCATGTACGGCGAGCTAGGACGTTCTACGCCTGGGAAGACACGGTCCCAGAGGCAGTACCATTTTTCGGCATCACTTGTGCCACGGCTGGTCGGGATTCTAAGGAGGTCGTCAACGTCCTCCTTCCAGAGACGCTCCGGGCCGACAATTTCCAGACAAGCATTGGTGTCGTGCTCCCACCATTTCCGTTCATCGTCGAATTCTTTGAAGCATTTGGCGCAATAGTAATCACTGATGACGTGTAGGCGGGCAAGGTGGGTTGTAACGTCGTATGGTCGTTTAAATTCGTACTTGCGGTAGCATCTCCAGTGTCTCACGGGATCGTACTTGTAGAAGGGACAGGCGAAGTAGCGCTTGGGTGGTTTTGTAGGGTCGATTGGCTCTGGCTGTGGTCGGCGTCGTGGCGGTTGTTCTCCCTCGTCCTCTTCGCCCTCATCGTTGTGATTGTTGGTGGCTGCCTTCTTCGCTCTGCCTTGCCTCGCACGACCCCGAGGTGCACGACGCTTCGCGGGTGGACATGGGACACCACCTTCGTAGTGTCCTGGGGTATTGCCTTCTGGGTGATAGACAATCGCCGATACCCATCCGGCGGATTCGCAGCAGAGCTCTAAGATGTTGATGCTAAGAGACGACTCGGACACAGCCTTGGCCAGCTGAAGGGCGCAGGTAAGGTAGAATCCGCTGGTAACATCGAGGCCGAGAGCATTGTATTTTCCGCTGAAACGGCTAGAACCAAGCCCGAGTGTACTGGAACCCAGCGCTAATGCAAGAGAGTGGTCAGCTACAGTGTTTGCAAATCGATGGAGCGGCGGATGTCCTCTTACCAGTAGTGGGCTTGCACTGGGCACGCAGAGAATCCCCAACCACTCCAAACAGGGCAAAGCGAGTGGTGAGAGCTGCAACGTTAGGGGCCGATAGAGGCCCGTTTGTTTCGTTATAGCGGGTGTTGATCCCTTGCGTAGTACTGGCGGCAGGGGAGCAAGGACATGCAGCAGCTTTTGGTCCAGGCAACCGATTTGGGGCAGACAGGCCTCCGTATAAGCCTACTGTAGCGAGTAAGACAACCATGTTGGCTGCTCTGTGGGATGGCACTTCTACGAGCAACACAGTGGCAGGGTGGTAGAGCTGGGTCTAAATGTCGAGAAAGATCTTCCAAACGGATGGATGACAGTGACCAATATTATACATTATCTAAATAACCCCATCGACCGCTTTTTGTTTGTCGATTTTGTGTGACAAATTTGAGGACGTAGAGCCTCAAATGTGAGAATCTGGCCAGCCCGGCCACGCACTCATTCAAAACATAGCCACAGGATTCCCTTTGCCACGGAACTTGATGTGCCCACTCCCTTGGCCGCGACCACTGAACACGCATGCTTATGTAGGCACCTAGTTGGTAAGCATGGGGGCTCGGGAAAGCCCGTGGCCTGCTCCAGTATCTCCGCGTTCTGCCCTCGACATAATTATCAACCTAACTGATCAGTGCACCACGGATGCGTTGGGGCTTGGCTGGTTTGTTTTTAGACAGGAACCCCCGTCGCGATCTAATCTTTGCGGATTTTGGCTGACAAAGCCTGAGCATGATCCTTTTTACGTGAGTTCGGTGTTAGGCATTCTGCTTGCCCTCCTGCCCCAGCGAGACCGTTTTGGCCTTGCCAAGAAGATCTGATTTGTCCACTTCTTCATTAGGGCACTCCAGCCGGTGCATGCTTAGCTTGTTGGCACCGGGAAAACCGGAGATGGTAAGCATTCCAAGATGCAACTACTCTAGGAAACTGACTGCAGTCAAAATCAGTTTTGGTTGAAATCAATCATAGTCAGTGACGGCAAGTGGGAGTCGCGAATCTCACACGGCGTGGCGTGATGGGATCTCAACACACGGCCTTTCTTGACTTGTGGCTGATGGGTGGACCAAGTGCATACACTTGGAACTGATGCACAACAGAGGGGTCAACATATGCACCTATGAAAACTTGATCATATGATCCTACAGAGACGTGCTTTTATTCGACAAGAAGCAAGTTTGACTGGTCCCTCCGACAATTTCATGAGATCTGGTTGTCTCCTGTGAGCCAATGCACAGTCCCCCGCTTCACTTACAGGGGATGAAGTAGGGCTACCAGGGAATGCGTAGATCCTACTGGCCTTGATTCCCTTACCACTTGGGATATCCCTTCCTTCCACCTTTACTCGGCCCGTCTGCCAGCTTTCACTGTTCATACAGGCCTCTATTCCACGCAGATCGCCACTCCAAGTGCCCTTTCTCCTCCATCCCTCTTCGATGCGCACTAAGCTTATTCTCCTGCCGCTCTGGAGTCAAATATTTTGGCTTGGCAGTTTTTACTCCATGGCATCAGACCGTTGCCTGTGACTTTAGTAAGGGATATTCGGAAACCCCTCATTTCTACATTAGGGTGTATTAGGCTCCCTCGTCACACAGCCACCTTTTCGGCAGCAAGTAACCAGTCAACGTAGATGGTATGTTAGATTACCTCATGCGGGGGAGCCTAGCCAATTGATCATATCGCCACAATGTAGTAAGTTTACCCGTAATCCATTCCTACGTTCCATGAACACGAACGAGACATTGAAGCGACATGTCCGCTGACGAAGTACCCGACAAACAACGTGAGAACGGGGCATAATCGCAAGGCAAAAGACAGAACCTACCACAGTATTCTCCAGGTTTCCAGTGGGAAAGGAACTGGGATGTAGCCGAGGAGGATCCCTGTCTGGCAGACTTGAGGGTGGGATGGTGACGAAGCGCCGCCGAGAAGAATTACGCCTGCAGTTTGCATATGCGGCCATTAACGTGGTTGGACACGGGGCTAAAGAGCTGAGCAGCTCTGTTCGATAGCGCACTTTGATTCCTGCATGCATAACAGAAAATGAGGAGCTTCCCACACGCGCTGCCTTCCATCTCCGATTTTAGACAGGACCGCCATAGCATTTTGTAAATTCTGTTTCGACAAAAGCACCCCAGGGTTCTCAAGACGCCTATGAATCTCTGAGACAAATTACAGCAACATGTTCCCAATGCTGTCGTAGGCGCTGCAAATCCTAGACACAGTCACCTACCGTCCCTATCGGCGCTTCCCCTCCCAACTACGGAAAATGAGCCAACTTCTGTTAGATTCCAAAGGGCACCTGTCTATCAATGACTATCTTAGTCAGTTCGCGTTACCGCTCTCTTCTGACTTACTCGTCCACAACCAACAAACCGTCAACACATATCGCCCAGAAAGGAGCGATAACAAAAC